ACCTGATGAAAACCGGTCGTCTGGGGGATCCAAAAAGCTTTTCGAATACTTTACAAAGTATCAAGTTTCCGGAAAAATTCTACACCCTCCTCCCCACGATTATTAATCCGTACCAATCCTGATATACGTCTGACCTCCGCTCCCACCTACTTCCCATTACCTCTTAGTGTGCTGTCACTCACAGCATCTCCCTGTTCAGACCAGAACAGCAGGATTATCTCTAAGGTTAATCAGATGTGACTAAATTTCCTGAGTTGTATCAACTGTACAGAAAAGTGTACAGTCCCGACTGCTTCATGGAACTCACCTCTTCGCTTCTATCGATACGGTCCTGAAGATATCGTGCTGAAAACTATCGTCGCCTGTATGCCTCCTGAGAAATCACAATGCTGGAATTTTCTCAAACAGACATTTGATTTTCAGGAAAGCTACCAAACTATGGTCTAGAGTTCTGCCCACCGACAGGCTCCGGCAACTCTTCATCGTTGGTGCAACTGCAAATCCATGTGGCGGCGGACATGCCGTTCGCCTCCCACGAGTTGATAAGGCAGGCCGTCGGCCGCGCGATGCTATGGGTATACGCCAGGAATAGGCGTGCTTGAATGACTTACCGACAGAACGGTTCATATTTAGACGAGCTTTGCTTATTTGCTTCGTGTGCTGTCTCTTAAGTTGGTGAGCTGAGCAGTTTTATTCTGTGCAAGTAATCTCATGCAACAGCAACGGGGAAAAATAGGGCAGCATGCTTCTCAAACAGGTTGTATTCTGCAAAATCAAGCATCATGTCTAATCCGGAACACTTTCTAGCTTAACAAGACGCCCATCGTCTGTATTTGACGTTTCTTTTTGGACCTTTGAAAAACAGATAAATTCAACCTCTAAAGTCTGACCTGTCTGACAGCCTGACTGTCTAGAAGAAGATGAGATAACTGGAACATGAAGTTTATTGGTCTGACGGTCCGGATTCTCATTCGAACCCATCATCAGAGACAGTCGCAGAAAAGTCCAATCTGTGGCTCAAAGTGCGCAGTATATAAAGAGTGCAGTTGCTAAGAGACCGCAAGCATGCTATATTTGGCAGTTGTGAATCGTAGCTGATGCGATAAATTGCTTTTCGCTCCGTATCCGAGTATGTCTGAATGTCTGACAGTTGGCCAATGCCGGATCTGATGATGGATTTGAATGTGATTCAAATGTGAATGAAACTCTTGTTTCAGCCCACGGTCGGCCCATCACACCTGTCAAGCACTGCGTGCGCGCATGTAACTCGGTCTTCGACTTGCCATCGTCGTGATATCGATCGATATTTTAGTATTCGGAACAAGTTAGACAGCTGGCACGACTGGTGAGAACACTTGCCACCTCAGCCTGCTGATCTGGGTGTATGCTCACTCGACTGCCAACAACTCTGTTCCCCTTGGCTTGGGATTTGGAAAGTGTTGGGTTGTCTACCATCGCATCTTGACAGATTAGCGCTCAATTCCATCAACAGAGACAGCGTCGAAGTGAGCTCTGTTTGTACAATAACTGCAGTATTTATAAAATGCAGTTGGTGTGCCATAGCGTGCTTTTCGAATTGGCGGCTCCCGCGTTTATCATGGTGGTAACAGCTCGTACTGTAGCGGCCTGATTGTCCTCAAAGAAATCATAACTAGTGGCATTTCCATTCCTTGTGTTGGCTCTTACTGTGATAACTGTTCGGCTGTTTTTATGTGAACACCCACGACATGTTGCCACTTTCCTCTGTCACGATGCGCGATATTAAAAAAACATATCCTACCTGCTATCTTCTTTCGACGGGAGCGGGAATTAGCAGCACCAGATGCACCGTCTCACTGCCGTTAGCAATCATTTTTGATATCAGTAGATCACCCTCCGACGGATTATTAACGATAGAATCGTCCCAGGAAATATGCACGACAGAACAAAGACGGTCCACGAGTAAACAAGACGATAAGCTTATTTGGCGAACATTGGAGGTGTACTCAAGAAATGCACTTTTCTATGTTCGCTCTGAACATGACTGAGGGGATGGAAATGAAGGCGAAATTTGGAATTCCAGGAGAATGCATAAGTGAAGAAGAGTCGAGCACCGGAACGCTTCCATCCGAAATCACATCCATCCCACCAAACGTGGCCCGCGAAGTCTTGCGCCGAGTCGACGCATTATCACAAGTGGCCGCCCACACGTACGAAATGGGTCACGAGTTTAACTTTGCAGCTACCGGAATAGTCGCCCACGTCGGAAACAAAACAGGCCGAGAGTTGATTGAAGCCTGGGCCTCGGATGAGAACTCGGTCAATCGATGTATCGATCTATCGCCGGCGTACAGAGCCCTGTGTAGTCACCTCCAGTCGTGTGCCGTCGGTCGATGATTGGGTCTACATACCTTATAACTGCCGTTTCTTCTGTTTCTACCACTACCTCTGACGATGGACTCCTGTACGAGGCTGAAGGCTCAGGACAATAAACGGAGTGTTCCGGTGCTCGACTCTTCTTCTTCACTTAAAATGGAAATACGACTGTCATATGCAATGACCATAATGCCATTTTGAACACTAATCATGTTAAAGAGTTATTTGTTTGCTAAGGGTCATGTCACTCACTGATCTTCATTCTAAGAGAATACTTCTGCGACTGAGGTCCATCCTTAGATGAACTTACGAAGGGACTCGGATGGTCATATGGGAAGACCTCCACACAAGAACCCTCTGTGCTACTTAAAAGTTTCAAGAATCGTCGACACTCGATTGTCTGGATGGCCATAAAACTCTGTGTGTGGTTAGTCTGACAATGAACAACGGACACTATCAGCAGCTGTGTGTTTATCGACGTTGTAAAGGATGTCAGGGTTGCCGCGACATTCACAGACATCGAAAGATGCCATAATTTTGCACAACGATGTCTCTGCTCGTTGATCAATTAAGACATGCTTCCCATGGCGCCTACGACTAAAATCTAACTGTTCGAATAACAGCCAGAATCGTCACACGCGGCTTCCTAGCAGCTTTCGTTTTAGCCGGCAATCCCAAATTAAATAGCATTAAAGACTTTTTCATACATGCCAAAATAAGGTGCCGTAAGGCGATGAAGAAGCTTCTAATGCAGGAAAACTTGTCTTTGCACTTAATAGTTACACAGGCCAAACTACTATAATACTTCAGCCATTTCCTTGTTTGATAATCTTACAAGTAGGGTTCAAAAAAGTTAACCAACCTCATATTTAAATTTTCTACTACTTATTATTTTTCATTATGCTTGCCTACTGGGGCACTTGTGTTGCGCACTAGTAGAATAGGCGTTAACTGCGCGACTGCGATGTACTCGTTTCCTGAATTTCTAGTTTCACCCTCTGTACTTATTTCTAATCTGAGGAAAAGAAGGAACTCGCCAGAGCAGGTTAACGGTGTTGGTAACCTTTCGGAAAACTTAGTCGGCTCCCCACTGACAAAGCTTTTGGTAACGATAGAATATAGGACCTACAAGTAGATGGAAACTAGAAAAATATACCCTAGAATTCATCGTGACTATAAACATCACTCATTATTCGCCGTTCCCCTTGTTTGAAAGTTCCTTCCCTTCCTGACTAAATACAAACTGACCAGAGACCGCTTATTCAAAGTTCGTTACCTTTTGAAAGTCGTTTCTTGTCTATTTTTTTAATTTTCGCACTTACTTTCTTTGCTAAGTGGCGGCGTTCGATAGGGTTTTCGGAGGAAATATACCTATTTTTCGTGTCTTCTTGCACGCCTTCCTGTGCGTTTCCCAATCCGCAAAACCCCTCTACCACCATTCAGCGTATGACATGGTCCACAGGCCAGTTCACGTCAGTTGGGGGTCCCTCACCCTATTTGTACCAAGCTTTTAATGCAGTTTGTCGATTTGGACTTTAAATAAATGGCCATATAAGTCGACACTGACCCCGTCTAATTTTTTTCCTTTTTCGTTGCCTCAACCTTTGACAGATGGTTTGGAGGGCACGAAAACTTCTTACGTTAGGTGTTGCCACTTCGATGAAGAATACAGGAATGCGTCCTTTTCGGGTGGGTTCGTCGCCGGGTCGTGTCTGATCGGTTTTTTTAGTGTATTGTGAGCGTCTTGTTTCGGTCTTTGTGTATGTAATGATGCGGTAATTTATAATTCACAGGAAGCTCTACATACCTGTTGATGGAGTTTGCATCTGCTAGTGATTCGATAGCTAGCTTTTGAGATTGCCTTCGAACCGTGAATCCTTGTATCCAATTAACTGACGCTAATCGCGGCTTCCTCTGCCATCTGATCAAGATTTTATTTATGTTTGAGAAAAAAAAATACTTTTAGTCAGTCCTTTTTGTGCTCGTAGAATGACCGTTTTTTTCAACCCTTGCCTACTCTTACTTGAAAGTCGCTTATAGCACTATGAAGTACCCACCGATGGTGGCCTAAAGTTAAAGGCCGTATAATGGCAAATAAGCCTGACGTAACAAGCACAATACCCTGTTAATTTTTTGACAACACTATCACAACTATATTCAGCCTCTATGTCAACTGAGACCTGTATCACCAAATTAATGCCTTCGTTCGGATTTTGCCCATGTCCAAATAGACACTATTAATCCCAATCTTGTCTCAATTACTTTGAATCATTTTTGCATAGAGCCGCAACAGTAAGCATTTAGACTGACCTATCCACAAAAGCATAAGGCAAAAACTCCATATCTTTAGGTGAGAACAAAATCTTTATTGAAGGTCTTCAGTTTGAAGTCCCCGATTAGTAGGGTATGAGAGGAAAGAAGGGAGCAAATGTCAGTTTACGGTCTCGGCTGACACGCCGTCAGCGTCTATACAGTGACTGAACGAAATATATATACATACGCTCATTTGTTCGGTCTAAAATCAGGGGATACAGGTGGTCTGCCTTCCCACTTAATGTCAGTGAGAACGAGAGTAAGGAGAAGGTCAATAGCATTTTGGGAATGAGAGATACAGGGATTTTGGGTGGAGTTTGGCAGGAGTGTCCTCAAGATACCTGAGCATGAGACGTCATTGAAGCAGAAGTTGTGGGGAGACAGTGGTCGTACTCTGAGCCACCGGCAACACCACTCATAGAGATCTCAGTGATCGGGACACTGATCGTTGGGTATCTCTTAAGTCGAGACCTGCTCTGCAGTTGTTGACCATGATGGTGGTGCTGCTGGTGGTGGTGGTGAGTAAGATAGTCTTCTTCGGCCCCAGTATTGGTACCTGAGCTTGAATGAGACTGATACTGCGGCTGTTGTTCCTGTTGATGTGAAGTCATCATTCTTCCAAAATGTTGTGGACTATGGAAGAGTCCCTGTGGCTTTGACTGCGATGTTCCGTAGGCATAGCGACGGCCTGCAGGGACGCCGCCGCCGCCGCCAGAGGATGATCCTGAGGCCACATCCGAGGGGCTGCGACTCTGCTCAACATCGAGCAGCTGTTGCTGTTGGTGCTGCAACGCCACGTCGGCGAGCTCGGTGTTTATGAGAGAGGCCGTGGCGTAGGGCGTGACAGAAGAGTTGACTTCGGAGCCACTGGCCGGGAAGTTGGATGTAGAGAGATGAGCCACAGGTGCTACCATAGGCAGACCTGTTAGGGTGCACTTGGTGGCGTCCATCATAGAGGTAGCGAAGGGGTTGACGTCGGTCGGTGGCGTCGGTGGTGGTGGTGGTGGCTGTGGACCTCGGTAGGTCAGGTGATCGGGAAACTCTGAGGAACTATAGGGCATCATTTGTCCTGGCGGCAGATGAGTTAGGTAGGGTGATGCTGAGGAAAAGTCCGAACTATGCACTGAAGTTCAAAAGATAGACCAATTTAAATCTAAATGGGCAAAATGGCAGAATTGGAAGATGAAAATCAGAACGACGTTTATCGCGCGAGTTACAATTTGATTCAGGAAAACATGTTCCATTTCCTCAAGGAAATCTTTTGGTGGAGATTTCATGAGCATATTTCATTCATGTAAAATTCATACGGCGTGGACATGATAAGAGCTTCAACTGATACAACGGAGCATCATAATTTATGAATGTTTTATTTCACAGAAAACGTTCGAAACATATGGGAAGGAAACGTGGTAGGTAATAAAATGTGGTTCCTATCTGTTTTATACAAGCAATGTATTTCGATCAGCTCCTGACAAAAAGCATCTACGACCGAAAATGTTTGTATGGCATGCCTGGTTCGTTGGTTTTAGGGGAAGGAAAATAAATCAATTCTGGGGGCGTTTTGGCAAGCATATGCTTGCTTTCGAGAAATTATCACCAGGTCAACACGTTTAAATAGTGAAGGAGTATTTGAGACCAATATAAAATAGATAGTAACAACGAAAACATGGGAGGTCAGAGTGGTCGTTTCCGGCCTATCAGACGTCATCAACCAGCCTGCCCAACCCGTAAATCAGTCCAGACTGTTGGACTTAATGGCCTCCAGTGACCAGGCGGTCCGGACTCGAATCCCAGATACTGCAACGCCCAAGTTGGGTAGGGTCGACTGACAGGCCGAAAATGGACATCCCTGTCTCCCTTGTCTAAGTCGCCACCCCTCAAACTGCATAATTGCTAGCCTCTATGGTGGGTTACTCCCTGTGCGCGTTGTGCCGCGTGCACAGGTGACAGCGGACTCCGTGGACGGTTGGTCGGATGGAACACCGCGTCGGCGCCGTCGTGACGAGGCTCTGTCTGACACACCGCTGGTCAGCCGGTTGGTGGTGGAACGTCGCATCGGCATCGTCTAGACGAGGCTCCGCCTGGTACGCCGTTGATCAGCCGGTGGGATGGATCTCCGAATTGGCACCGTCGACACGCGCCCATCTGGTGCACCGTAGGAGACCGCAGGCTTGCGGCAATGCCGTAAGCCATTGGCAAATTCGAGTCGTTCTTCCACTGCCAAAAAAACTCGTGGCCCACAGTGGAGTTCGGCCGCGCCGGCACATCAAGCAGCCCCTATTCAGGGGTCAGGGCACTGCTTCCTTCGGGGGGGCCTGGAAAAGCTGGCCTAAAAATTGCTGGGGAACCACGTCGTCTGCTGGCGCACCGTGGTCGCAGACGCAAAACTCACGGTCGAAACAATCAAACCCGAAACAACAACAACAACCATACTCATTCTCCTCATCCTACCTCTTCTACCTCTACCTCCGTCTATTCTTCTGCCTATTCTTCTCCTTCGTCATCTTCTTCTCCACCTCCTTCCCATCGCCCCACTCGTTTTCCCCAGACTGGCAGGGTGAGCCCGCTCACTCTGGCAGCCTGGAATGTTCGTTCCCTTTTAGACAATCCGAGGAGCAACCGTCCGGAACGGAGGACGGCGCTAGTGGCACGAGAACTGGCGCGCTACAAGGTGGACATCGCCGCACTCAGCGAGACCCGATTCTCCGAACAAGGCCAACTGGAGGAGGTGGGTGCCGGTTACACCTTCTTCTGGAGTGGCCGACCCAGGGCAGAGCGACGAGACGCGGGCGTCGCCTTCGCCATCCGGACCGACATCGTGGGACGACTGCCCTGTTTGCCGCAGGGCATCAACGATCGCCTGATGAGCCTCCGCCTGCCTCTCTGGGGAGGCAAATTCGCCACCATCATCAGCGCCTACGCTCCGACGATGACCAACCCCGACGCCGTCAGAGACAAATTCTACGAGGACCTGCACGCCCTCTTGGCGACTGTGTCGAAGGCGGACAAGTTGATTGTCCTTGGTGACTTCAACGCCCGCGTCGGCACAGACCATACTGCCTGGAGGGGAGTGCTGGGTCCTCACGGTCTCCGCGGCTCCAACGACAACGGCCTGCTTNTAGAAGGCAGAAATAAGCGCACAGTCACGTGGGCTAAGTCAAGACCTGGGAGTGGCTGGCACAGAGGTGTGAGTACGGCATCGAGGATTTAGCCGTCCTCCAACCCAGTTCCCCTCGATTTCTCCCTTCCCGGTTTCATCACCTACAACAGAGCAAGAAGACTGAAAGTTTCGACAGGGCCTCCCAGCCCCTGGGGAACGGACGGTGAGAGTTTCGAAGAGCCGGCTTTTCCCGTTCGTATGTTTTGAAGTGCAAGTGTGCAAAGTTACCGACAACGATTTCGCGACCTGTCCGCGCAGCAAACTAAACTGGTCATTCGCCGACATCTCAGCCCCCCTCCCCCCCCCCCTCTTCGTCTATGGCATTTGGCGAATAGTTCTTCGCAGCCATACGACGTCTGAGGGGCCGTACGTGCACATCCTTGCGGCGCCAAGCGTTGGCAAAGGTTTCACAGTAATTCCCCTGCGGCCAGATGTGACACAAGCACTAGCACACATGCACGCACTCGGACAGGCACAGATGCATGGAGATAGACCCTGTCGGTAACGGTTTTCCCCGCATCCTCGTTTCCTTCATGAATCATCGTGCCACGTGCCCTGGAAAAGTTTGCAAATCTATGCTGTGGCGATTAAGGTTTCCGATGCTGACGGACCTCTTTGACAATTTGCGGGACGAACTACTTAATCGCTTTTGAGCTCTCCGCGAGCAAACGCTGTACGTGTATGCGTACACTAAACGCAGGAGCAAAAGTTGGTCTATCCTGACTCGGAAATGGTCTTGTATCGTAAGGCATGAGCGTTTATTACCACTCATGTCAAGCTTTGTTCCGGACAAGCCAGAATCGAATTTGACCAGTCGAACGGAAAGCCCGCAAAGGAACCTTAAAATGGGGACAAGTGGCAGTAGGATCCCGGTATAAAGGGACTCTTATATTGAACAAAACAGCTAAATATGGGCAGGTTAGACAACGATCTGTCCGAGGCATATAATGAAAATATGGCTGACATTAAACCAGCACACTGATTCCGCACATTACTGGCTCTAACTAGGAAAGAAGATTATGTCACGCGCATGCCGTTCTTATGGCTCCTTCCACAGACAGCAGCTAGATATTCAAAAGGCAACTTCTTCAAGCAATATCCTATGCTCGAGGAAACTTTTAAAAGATTCGTTGCTACCCGCCTTTATGCAGAGCAGCCTATGGTCTAAGGCAACTCAGTTAGCTTCAGTCTTGCCACGGCTTACCGAAATATCTGGGGCGTTGTGACGCGTCCACAGGGACTCAACGAATCAATATCTTTATCGCCTTGTTGCCTGAATGCGACTGCCAAGAGTTATTAGATACAAAATTATGCATATATGGGAGGGGGGAAGGCGAGAGAAGTTATAGTTCATACATTGTATTTTATGCTGCCAATTATTGCTTAGTATCGAGTACCCTAGACCAACCGAGTAGAATGTAAAGCCAGCTTGCATCACGATTAAGCACTAACACGGGCAGCATTTGTGCGTAGCTGCTGCTCTAGGCTTGAAACCCTATAGCTCATGTTGCCACAACCCTTTCACCTAAAGACCGGATGGGCAATAACACAGTGCGAAACCTATGCAACATGGGAATATCCATATGCCCTCTAATAGGAAGCACAAAAATAGCAAATCTAACGGTCGGATATGTTCCTCGATAAACCGTGGTTATGAATTCGCTAGATGCGCTGTTTTCAGCGAGTACACCTGTGCGTGCGTCTGTGCTCGAACACAGGCATACAAATGCATCTATGCCCTAAAGGTGGACAGAAATAAATCTGCAACCTCATTCAAGTTGTGCGCAGTTTCGTAGGTAACGTGACCTGAAGGCCTAAGGCCTAATTGAAAAAAAGAGAGAGCACTGAACTGCTGACTGTGTCATAGGACGAGAACGGTTCATAATACGCAGTCACCAAGGGCTGCGGTCACGAATATGCGAAGCACGCAGACATGTCCTTTGTCTCTGTAAGAGTGAAAACACAGGAATGTAAAATTTAGCACGCCTAAGGCGAGTAGACAATTTTTACTTGCATATTCAGTAGTCCGAGATAAGTAAATTCAGGAGACTAATTGAGAACGCGTAAAGGGGTGATCAGCCGCGCACACGAAGTCGGACAAACTGCAGTGTCTGCTGTTGCTATTGGCCATAGCGGAAGTCAGGACAACGCCAACTATGCCGGTCCGATCAGACGCATGACTGCGGTTATGGCGATCACTTGTAAACAATACACGGACGGTCCTCATCAAGCGTACCGATTAAGTTGGTGAATACTTCTACCTCGCCCCTAGGTGGCTCCTTTGGGCACCACGAAGCCATCCTCAACGCGGCGGTCGCACACTATGAGTGTCTCTGACCGGCAACCTAAGACAGATGGGGGTTGTGACGTGTGTGTATATCTATACGCCGGAGTTCGTTCACCTATCCACATCTGCCTTCCCCATACCCACACATACGGAGAGGACGATATGTAAGACGGTAGGCGACTCAAGCTAATTCGAATCGCCTCCCATCACATCAAAGTAGCGATAGACAGTGACAACCGCCTAAGATGATTTATTAGTTCTAAAAGTGCTGGTAAAGAACGCCGACGGCAGCTGAACGTAGCTTGTGCGCCTCAGCATAGGCTGCTAAAATGAAGCTGGGGCAACCTCAAGTGTTTGCTCGCCTTTAGGCAATTCGATGGACTACCGACCCGAAAGAAGGGCAACTCCGGTCATCCAAGAACTGACTCGTCACGAGGCGAGCATTCCGAATCCCGGTGAGTCCCGCTTCATCAAGTAATCTCGAATGAAAGAAATGGATATTGGATACACCTTCCTCTGGAACAAGCGCTCAAAGGCAGAACGAAGAGATGACGGTGAGATGTTGAATTTCCGCACGGCCATCACGTCAAAGGGCACTGTGCAACAGCCTTACTGTTGGAGGGACCGGATTAATGGATAAGTCCTGTCTGTGAAACCTCCATCGAAATCTGTTTGTGAGGCTGCGTGATGCGTCTGAGCATTGGCGATACTGCCTCTTTATACGATAACGCTAGCTCGTTGTGGATATTTACACTTTGCCATAGTTTCATGCGCCGTCGCCAGGCGTTAGTGAAGAGGAATGGCCATGAGTAACTTGGGAACAATTCTAGACAGCATCTTTCTGGACGGATCCAATTATCTTCCACGCAAATGAGTTCACCTGACCGATGAGTTGAAGGGGAGTTGAAGACGGTCATAAGAGTCAAGTAATTTTTTTAATTAGAAGACACACTCGGTAGTACGCAGTCTATACCACGTTCACCTCTCTCCTAATGGCTGTATAAATAACAGCGCAGTCATGACAAGCGCACTTGATTGGGTCACTTAGTATACTCCGAAATATCCTCGAAGGCTGTTGGGATAGAGAACGGTGAAACGTTATATGCGGTTCGCAAATGAATTAGGGTGTGGGTTGCTAAGGTCCTACTTGGTATTAGTCCATTTCTTACGAAGCGTTTGTGGTATAATTTACCTATTATTTAGGTTAGAAAGAGGGGTATTTTGGCAGTATATGAGGGTGGATTGTTCAGGTTGGGGCGG